GCTGACCCCAAGGCGCCCCCCCGGGGGTGCCCACGCGAGCCGAACGCGGGTGGCTGCTGCGCTCTGCTGGCAGCGAGCTGAGCTACAGAGCCGGCACAGCCACCTGGGCATCTCTGCGGGCCAAACCCAAACCCTTCCACTGCCAGCGTCATTGTCCCTTGGAACTCTGACACATTTCTTTATGGAAACACCAGGAAATCCAGACCACCGTGCCACATCCAACACCCCCAAATGCTCCCAAGGGTCGGGGAAGCCGTGCAGCAGCAGTGTGCCAGGATGCCCAGCCCCTGAGGACACGTGTGAAAGAAGGACACTGATCCCCTAAGGACGTACCAGCCCGCTGGCTTTGACCAGGGGAGCTTCCAGGTCCGGGTAGACGTTCTCCAGGTACCACTGGAAACTCTTGCACTGGAGCTTCTGTCGCAGCTGGATTTGTTGAGTCAGGTCGCCCACGTCCACGTTTTTCAAGATCAAGTGGTAAGCGTGGCCATAGAAAAGCTCCTTATACTCATCCATCCAGACCTCTGCCACACGGGCCAGGTTCCTCTCCACTGTCCTCACCCGATCTTTCGGGAAGGAATAGGGATTGTCGTTCCTGAAAATGTGCCCAACTCTGGAGCAGGGAACGATCTCGATCTCTCCTCCGCACATCCAGACCTGAGAAACAGAGAGTACTGATAGAAACTCGGGCAGATGTTGGGTGCTGGCTTTGTGCAAGCCAAGAGAGAAGCAGAAAGCTAAGGCAGGTGCAGGGAGAGATGTGATGTCCAGCATGAAGCTGTCCCTGGGGAGACCCTGCCTGAGCCCCATCACCCACCCAGGCTGCCAGGGTTGCAAGCGTGTGACAGTGACCTACCTTGAATGAAAGCTCCATATTTTCACCTCCCCAAACATCCAGTCCTGGGTCGTACATTCCCAGCTCAAAAAAGTACTTCTTGTTGATGGAAAAGAGACCACCTGCCATGACAGGGCACCTGGGAACAGAGAGGCCACCCAGTGTGTCACCGCTGTGGCACAGATGGCATCTGGGTGGCTTTCCCCAGACTGAGCGCTGCGATGGGGCAGGGAAGGGAAAAGGGCAATGGAATGTTCTCCGGGCCCCCAGCAGTGCCATGAGCAGGGAGCAAGTCTTCCTGGCTTTGCCTATGCCTCATGGTTGGGGTTGCCCACAGCCTACCTGTGCCTCTGCTGTCCTGGCAAGCAAAGGAACCACACTTGGCCACAGAGGAACATTTGGCCTCAAAGGAGCCTTTGTTGCTAAACCATTACCAGAGGAACAGGCTGATTCACAAAGTTCTTCCATTTCCTTTTTTACCTTATTATATCAGTCTCCTTGATTTTATTTCTCTCGATGACCTCCTGTGGAATCTGTCTCCATCCAAAATTCATTGGCCAAGTGAAAATCCCGCGCTGGAAGTTGTCCACGGTCATGTAACTAAAGGGAGAAAAGATCGGGATGACAAACTCTGAGTCACATTCCTGATTGAAATGTCACCCCTAATGAGTGGAGATGAATATCTGTGCGTAATTAAACCAGGATTTTAACAAATTTCATCAGGAATCCTCCTCATGCACTAAAAGTCGTGGAAAAGGGAAAAGGTGTGTGTGATAACCAAAGGGGCCATGCCCACAGCTAACAGCAGTTTCTGGTGTACAGCACCGTTCTGTGTGGCCTGTGAAACGCTGCAGGACGCCAGGTACGAGGTCTGGGGTCGTGTCTTCCTGCAGCGAATACACTGGTGGTCTCAGCAGGAGTTTGCTCAGGGCACCAGCATGGATTTTGTGTTTCCCAGGGGTGTGAGTCCCCTCACCTCATGTCCTTGTCGCTGATGACCTCGATGACGGGGCAGGCGACCTTGGTCCGGCGCAGGTGAACCCTCTCCAGCAGCGGCTCCAGCCACCCCACATTGCACTCCACGTGTGAGTCCAGGAACGTCAGGACAGCACCTGCAACAGAGACCAGGGCAGTGCCAGGCCCCAGACACCCCAGCCCCAGCCCTGCTGGCCAGTCTCTGTGCACACCCTGCGGGCTCAGGGCGCTGCTGACGGTGCCACGGAGCTCCTTGGCTCCCCAACCTCTCCCAGTCACGGCCCAGAGCACCTTTTCCCTGCTCAGCAGGGCAGCTCCCAACAGAAATGGCCATTTCAATGCTGACACAGCATAGCTGGGGCAGGTGGTGGAGCTGGGGCAGCATGACTGGAGATCAGTGATGAAAGGACACCCCTAGTGCATTGGGAGACACTAACTCCCACTGCTGGGCAGGGCTTATTGGCACCTTTGGGAGCTCCTATCATGCCTGGAACATAGCTCTTGTCCTACCTTTGGCGATCTCTGCCCCTGCCAGCCTGGCCCTTATCAGCCCATGCCTCTCCTTGAGCCGCAGGATCTTCACTTTCGGGAACCGTGACATGTATTTGTCCAGCTGCTCCTTCAGGTACTCTGCGGGGGAGAAGGAGAGGGTCAGGTTGAATTACTCATTTCCACCCACTTCCAGGGTGAAAAGAGCAGGCAGGTTTTCGCTGGAAGCATCTCCAGACACACCTGGGTGTGAATGTCTGGGCATGGCTGCAGGGCTTTGGATGCCCAGTGTCGTGGTCCAAGCTCTGCAGTGAGACCCCCAGCTGGGTCAGTGCCAGCAGGCTGAAGTGATGAGTCTGAGCACCAAAATGGGAGATTTCCCATGCTTCCCAGCAGTTGGTGAGGGTGGGTGTGCTGTTTTGTGGCCTCACTCCAGTAATTCATGACCCAAACCAGGTAGCTCAAAGACTCAAGAATTAGAGGGGTTTTTATTTCATTGCACTACAATTGCAATTAAAATCTGGTAGCAATTTTTTTTCCTTTGCCTAATAAATTACATCGCCCCTAAATTTTTAAGGGCTAAAGCCAGCAGAGCTGAGGTGTCACAACGTGGAGGTTTGGTATCACCTGGAATGCTGCTGAAAGGCACTGTGCAGCTGAGATCCCTCTCAGCACTGCTCCCACTGCAGCTCCCTGTCCTCTGAGCCTCCCTGTGACCCCCCCCAGCCACCCCACAGTGCCCAGCTGGCCTCTGACCCCTCTCAGCCCCCAGCACAGGCTGCTGACACACTTCAGTACAGCATAAGGAGAAAATGTGATTTCTCCCTCCTATTCAGAATTGAATTACAGAGAACAAATCACATTTTGCCCCCGAGTTATATTAGTTTCATAAAGGCAGAAGAAGCTTCACCTACCCTTGGTGCTGGCGTCATCCACCAAAATGAGTTCCTCAATCAGGTGTGGAGGAGACCTGCTGAGGACACTGTGCACGGAGCGGAGGAGGGTGGACCACACCTCATCCACGAAGCACATGATGATGGTGGTGGTCGGGAGGTCGTCGTGGACCTGCTGCTCTGAGCACCTGCAACGGCAACACAGGCTCACAGGTGGTGACTGGTCACACTGCCATAAATCTCCAGGCTTGGAGTTTTCTGGGGAAACGTGCAGCCAGATGTGAAACACGGAGGCAAAGCCCTGCAAAGTTGGGAGGGGAACAGAAGGGTGAGGGGGGAGCCCCCACCACAGCCCTGGGGCCCCTCTCAGGGGCAGCCCCGTGGGACAGGATGTGCTCACTCATTTCTGACAGGGTTCACAGGTACTTCAGGGCTCCACAGCAATCAGAAGTGCTCTGGGTAGGTGAAAATCACCCAGAATTACTCTCTGTCACAATCCTTGAGATCTGTCTTTCGATCTCAGGGGGATCAGTGGGCAGAAGCCCATTTTGGGTTCAGTCCTGCCTCCACCAGCTCCTTGCTGGGCAGCTGGTGAGTAGAAATAGGTCAGGCTCCCTTTCTCCTTCACCACAGAATCCCAGAATGGTTTGGGTTGGAAGGAACCTTAGAGCTCATCCCACTCCAACCCTCTGCCATGGACACCTCCCAGCAGCCCAGGGTGCTCCAAGCCCATCCAACCTGGCCTGGAACACTCCCAGGGACGGGGAGCACTGCCACAGCTGCTCTGGGCACCCTGTGCCAGTGTCTCAGCACCTCACAGCCAGGAATTCCTTCCCAAGGCCCCATCTATCCCTGCCCTCTGGCAGTGGGAAGCCATTCCCCCTTGTCTTGTCACTTCAGGCCCTTGTCCCAAGTCTCTGCAGCTCTCCTGGAGCCCCTTTAGGCACTGGAAGGGGCTCTAAGGTCTCCTTGGAATCTACTCTTCTGTAACTCTCTCAGCCTCAGGACTCCTGATCTGGGCTCTGCAGGGAATGCTTCCCACCCACCTCCTGCCCCTGGCCATCACCTGTGCCTCTTGTATCCTACTCCTCCCCACCCACCTGCTGCAGGGGCACAGTGCTGGGGAAGCACCAGCGTGTCAGTAACTCCAACAGCAGCCAGCACTGTGCATGGAGGGCAGGCTGGAGGCTGGCACAGGACATGCTTCCTGTTGGCCAGATTTCAGTGGTCCAAGAAGACTCACAAGAGGAACTGGAGACTAAACTGGGAGAGACTGGAATGCACCAGTGAAAAAGTAATGTGCTGTTTGATACTGAGAGCTGCCAACAGCCACCGCAGCGAGCTGGCCCGTACAGCCTGGTGTCTGCCCGTGCCAACGGGCTGAGTCTGCACAGGCTGCTGCCAGTACCCAGTACTGGGCACCAGGGCAGCTCCCTGTGCTGTCCCCAGGGACGTGATCTGTTTGGCCAAGGTGTTCCCTGTGACAGCAAACTTCTCCCCCTGGGCAGGTGCGTCACTTCGCAGAGGCACACCCGGAGGTGGTTCCTGCTCCACAGCTCCAGGGCTTTGCTGTCCAGACCAAACCCTGTGCTGGCTTTGTGCCACCACAGCTCTGGTCCCGTGCACAGGTGGTTACTGCAGCTGGCATGGGCAAGCAGCTCTAGGTGACTCCTTCCTTCTCTGTTCCTGTGCAAGATCTCACCTCAGTGAGCACTGCCACTGCCACGGGAATGTCTGCACTGTCCAGCAGGATGGGGGAGAGTCACAGCACAATTCCCACACCAAGGGACCTGTGAGCTGTGAGCGTGGGAAAAGGGTCATGGGAGGGTCTCTGCACAAGGCAGGTCTCACCTGTCCAGGGGCTGAGAGATGTTTGCAGCAGGAAAGTTTGAGTATAAGAGAGGAGCCTGCCACTCACCTGAGCTGGCACCTTCCCCAGCCCCTCCCTGTATCTTGCAGGTGTGGGACCATCTCTGGACAGGGAGGCTCTGGCTGCCCAAACCAACGGAGTGCAGGACTCCAGGAACCAACACACAAATACTGGAACCAACCATGCTCAGAGCTGCACCTGACACACCAGGTACAGTGTTCTAAGGCACAGAGAGGCCTGAGCCCCATCACCTGCCCTGTGTGCCCTGGCCCCTTTGGGCAGTAGGGCTCGGTATGTTACGACAACCTGCAAACTTCACTCACTTTCACATTTAACAACAAGCTGCTCTGACCTGGACAGGCAAAGGCCATCTGACAGGTAGCATGGCCAAAGCATAGGGCTTGGTGTCCCCAGCAGAGCTCCTTGGAGCCACCAAGCCTGTGCCCTGTGGCACGATACAGGGTTTGTGCAAGGGGAGCAGATCTTACCCAGCAGGCCTGGTGTCCGTGATGGCTCGGTCCACAGGGATCAGATCGCTGAGGTAGACATTAAAGTTTCCTTCTTTCCATCTACTTTTCGCTTCTTCTTGTTTATCATCAGGGACTGCAACAGGATGCCCAAACTGGCCTGGAGCTTGGGGGTCTCTCGGGGCAAGTGTTGCATCCATGGACAGGACTCTGTGCATCCCTGGGTGGCTGTCCACAGGCTCCTGCCCATCCTGGCTGGTGCCAGCTGCTCTGGGAGCTTCTCCTGCCTGCTCCTGCCCATCCTGGCGGGTGCCAGCTGCTCTGGGAGCTGCTCCCTCCTGCTCCTGCCCACCCTGGCTGGTGCCAGCTACTCTAGGAGCTGCTCCCTCCTGCTCCTGTCCATCCTGGCTGGTGCCAGCTGCTCTGGGAGCTGCTCCCTCCTGCTCCTGCCCATCCTGGACGATGCCAGCTGCTCTGGGAGCTGCTCCTGGCATCACACGGAGTGCCTGGCTCTGGGCACCCAGCACGGTGGCCCCAGCTGTGGTGGTCACAGCGCGGGCACCGTCGGTGTTTCCCTTAGCCAGTTCTTTGTGCTTTTCGTGTCCAGTTGTGGCATTCCTCGCAGAGTGCGATCCACCACGTGGGGCTGTGGGGCTGATCCTCTCTTTGCTAATGAGGACGAAGATACTTTTGGAAGAAGCTTCTTTGTGTCCCGTGTTTGTTTCCTCGGGGGGCGATGCTCCCCGCGCCCCGGCGGGGGCTG